TTGTGATGTTTCTCTGGTTTCTTACTTAGCCCGTTTATAATCTATATATAGGAGGGCTACTGTTCTTTATTTTTTAGTTAATCTTGTATCCTGCCTCTTTACTGAAACTGTTTATCAGCTGTAGCAGTTCCCTGGTAGAATTTTTCAGGTCATTTATGTAAACTCTCATGTAATCTGCAAATAGTGAAATTTTGATTTTTTTTTTCCTTTCTAATTTGTATCCCCTTGATATCCTTTTGTTGTCTTATTGCTCTAGTTAGAACTTCAAGTACAATAATGAATAAATACTGAGAGAGTGGAGAGTGGGCAGCCTTGTCTTGTTCCTGATTTTAGTTTCTCTCCATTTAGTTTGATAATGGCGTTGGTTTGCTATATGTTGTCTTTATTAAGTTTAGGTATGTTCCTGTTATCCCTGATCTCTCCAAGACCTTTATCATGAAGGGGTGTTGGATTTTGTGGAAGGTCTTTTTAGCATCTAGTGAGATAGATGATCATGTGATTTCTCTATTTCAGTTTGTTTATATGGTTGATTACATTGACAGATTTTCATATGTTGAACCATCCCTGCATCTCTGGGATGAAGCCTGCTTGATCATGGAGGATGATTTTTCTGATGTGTTCTTGGATTCAGTTTGTCATTATTTTATCGAGTATTGAGTATTTTTGCATTAATGAGGGAGATTGGTCTGTAATTCTTTTTTCTTAGTTATGTATGTCTTTTTGTGGTTTGGGTACCAAGGTAATTTTAGCTTCGTAAAGAGTTTGGCATTTCTGCTTCTATTATGTGGAGCAGACAATTTGAGGAGTGTTGGTATTAGCTGTTCTTTGAATTTGTGGTAGAATTCTGCACTGAAAGTATTTGACCCTGGGCTTTTTGTTTTGATGACTGCTTCTATTTCATTAGGGGTTATAGGTCTATTCAAATTGCTTATATGTTCTTTAATTTTGGTATGTGATACCTATCTAGAAAATTGTTCATTTCTTTAAAATTCCAATTTTGTGGAATACAGGTTTTCAAAGTATGACCTGATGATTCTCTGGATTTCCTTAGTGTCAGTTGTTATGTCCTCCTTTTCATTTCTTATTTTGTTAATTTAGAGATTTTCTCTCTGCTTTTTGGTTAGTTTGGCCAAAGGTTTGTCTATCTTGTTGATTTTCTTGAAGAACTAACTCTTTGTTACATTGATTCTTTATATTATTCTCTTTGTTTCTACTGTTTTGATTTCAGCCCTCAATTTGATTGTTTGCTGGTGTGTACTCCTCCTGGGTGCATCTGCTTTTTTTTTTTTTTTTTGTTCTAGAGCTTTCAGTTGTACTGTTAAGTCACTAGTGTGAAAATTCTCCAGTTTCTTTGCAGGCACTTAGTGCAATGAACTTTCCTCTTAGCATTGCTTTCTAAGTGTCCCATAAGTTTGGGTATGGTGTTCATTTTCATTGAATTCTAGGAAATCTTTAATTTCTATTTCTTCCTTGATTGAGAGGTGATGCAATTGAACAATGTTCAATTTCCACGAGTTTGTAGGGTTTCTGCAGTTCGTGTTTTTGTTGAATTCTAATATTAAAACATGGTGATCTTTCTTGATCTTGATCTGTTGAAATTTGCTCTGTTGCCCAGTATGTGTTTGATTGTAGAGAAAGTACCATGGGGTGGTGAGAAGAAGGTATGTTCTTCTGTTAGTTCCTCCACCCCTCCCCCACCCCCCCCTTAGGTTTCTGTCTGGTAGTCTTCTTCAGTGATGAGAATAGGGTGTTGAAGCCTCCCACTATAAGTGTGTGGAATTTTATCTGTGGTTTTAGTAATGTTTTATAAATGTGGGTGCCTTTGTATTTGGGGCATAGATGTTCAGAATTTAGCCTTCATCTTGATGGACTTTTCCTGTGATGAATATGAAATGACAATTTTCATCTCTTTTGATTAATTTTAGTTTGAAGTCTAATTTGTTACATATTAGCTTAGCTATACCAGCTTGTTTCTTGAGTCCATGTGATTGGAAAATCTTTTCTCAACACTGAACTTTGAGGTAATGTCTGTCTTTGAAGTTGAGGTGTGTTTCTTGTATGCAGCAGAAGGATGGATTCTGTGTTTGTATCCATTTTGTTTAGCCTGTGTCTTTTTATAGGTGAATTGAGATGTTGATATTAAGAGATATTAATAGCCATTGAATGTTGATTCCTGTTATTTTTGGATTTGTTGTTGGTATTGTGTGTGTGTTTCCCTTTTTTAGTGTTTTGGTATTGTGGCGTTGTTGCCCTTGCGTTTGTGTGTAAATAAGTCACTTGGGTTGGAGTTTTCCTTCCTGTACTTTCTGTAGGGCTGCATTTATGGATATGTGTTTAAATCTGGTTTTGTCATAGATTATCTTATTTTTTCCATGTATAGTAATTAAAAGCTTTGCTGGTTGTAGTGATCTGGGCTGGCATCCATGGCCTCCTAGTGTCTTTAGAATCCTCCTTTATTTTTGTAATTTTTTAAAAATTAAAACCCATTTTTAAATGAGCAGTTTAACAGTTACTCTGGTTAACATTTTTTTAATCTTTATACATTTTTGTTGGGGGATCATCTATACTTTTAAGATGATGTTTAATATAGACTGCCTTCTTCATTAGTTATTGTGTCTTCTATTAGCAAATCAAATTACGACCGTAAAGATGATCAAGCTCCAGGATATACTCTTATTAATAAAGACTGGAAGATTTTTTTCTCTTTAAGGACAGCACTGTGTTTCTTAGGCTTGTGTTACTGTAGACTGATGACATAGATACACCCTTTGCTGTCACCTGTGAGACTGGAGTCATAGTTGAAAATATGTTGAACGTCGTTGCTGTTACTAAGCTCCTCTTTGGAGTTAGCAGTGTGACAGAAGTGTTAACTGTGCAGCCAGACTGTTGTTAATGTGTGTTCTGCGGGCTGGACCTAGTTTTGAGCAACAGCATAATTGTCAGGACCTCTCTCGTGCTAAGTAGGGATAAAGTCATCAGTCTCCTGGATATAATTCTTACTGAGATTTACAACACTTCTCTTCCAACCCCTCTTGCTTGATTTTTCAGTCATCTCCAGTTAATACCAGGTGCCCAGTGAACCACTGTAGAATAAGAGTCAATTGTATCTGTGAAATGTGGAGTTTGCTCTCTCTGACTGTTACAGGGAGCCAGCTACCTTTATTTCCAAATGTCTTTGGAACTTAACTTTGCCTTGAAGTGAATAAAGCTTTGTTCCCTCCTCTTGGATATAAGGTTATGTGACATAGCTTAAAAAAAAAAAAAAAAAAAAAAAAAGTATGAAAGCAATTGAGAACTTGGTTATTTTTATTGAAAGCTTTGTTTTTTGGTTATTTTTATTGAAAGCTTTGTTTTTTGTTTTTAAAGGATTTCAGTTGCTTATGTCAACCATCTCATATCCTCATTGAAAGCAAGCCCCAAATGTAACTAGTATGGTCTCAGTAAGAGCCTGGGTCCTTGGGTGGAGAGGAATCATTGGTTCTGGAAAGGGAGGTTCATTCTTAGAATTCCGTTTTAGAAATCTAAGTGAAGAAATCTAAGTAGATTTCCTCTCTTGTAAAGATGTAGGTGGTCAGCAAAAGTGACCACAGTGTGTGTATGAATGCATGGGCACAGCTGGACTCTTGCAGCTTTGCTTGTGACACGGAAATTAATGAAACAAGCAAGAGGCAGAACATGGCCCATGGGCCTTAGCTTCTAGAGCACGCATAACAGGATTGAACTTCTGTGTTTTTATGTGTTGGGTATGAGGGGCCGTCAGTACTTAGAGTAAATATTCTCAGTGTGCCTCAGACATGTGACCTGGTGGCATCGTGCTAAAGCATGAGGAACACATTGCTGGCTTAAGCCTTTCAAAATTGTTTCCCCAAGAAAGATGCATGCATAAGACCAAAATGTAGTTTGGGATAGGGACCAAAGTTAGTGATAATTCTTTTCCTGACAGTGATACCCATTGTGTTAGGGTGCTTTGGCACGCTCCAGTCATGGCCAGATAAATTATGGCTATTTGGAGTTATGGTTCATTCTGACTTACATTGCATTTGGTGGACTTGAGCACTGAGAGTAAAACAAAAGTGACATTTACGCTCCCAGAAATACTTTGAACTTAGTCTCTCCAAAATCAACATTCTATTAACATTTATTACACTTAATCTTAGGTTTGACTTCATGAGTTTGGGTTTTCAGGCAAAATACTGTCTTCTGTTTCAATTATTCTTGGTTTAATGTGACCACAGGGTGGCATGGTTCCCTTACATATCTTGTTGATAAAGTGAAAGCGAAAAACAATATAAATTAAACAATAATTCTTCCTCTAGTTTTTATGTTAAAATGGCCAGGTTTTCACTGAATTGTTGTTTACATAATTCATTATTAAGATTTGTAGAATATTAAATCCTAGTCAGTACCTCAAACTTTGTGTTAAAAGGTTTTTTTTTTTTTGTTAGTTTGTGGTTATAACACAAATTATGTTTATAATTGAGAAGAATGGTAATTTGAGCTGCATTTCACAGTATGTACTTAATTATAAGCCCTATTTTATTAAAAAAATCAGTTTATGAAAACTGATAGAGTAATTGAAACTGGTAAAGGTGTTTTTCATCATAAATAATTTCCAAAGGTATGTGTAGAGTTACTGGCATGATAGTTACCTCATTATAAAGGCTTAATGGGAGAATGACTAAAGGAACACAGGGATCTTAGGTGGTCAGTAGACACAGGTTGTTAAAAAATGATCTTTCTGCTCCATGAATTTTCATATATCAACTCTAAAGACAGAATAGTTGCTTCCATTTATACAGTCAAGGAAAGTTAAGTTTAATGGACATATGCAAATCATTTTAGGTGGAATTTGAATGCACATTACTGTTTCAAGGCATATCTAGATGCCCTCACCTTTGTTGGGGAATAGCTAGACTCGGTAGTAATTTATAAGACGTAGACTTTAGCAGGTTCCCAGGAACTTTATTAATGCAGATTTGTGCATTGTTTTCTGTTCCTAGGGCGATTGTGTTGTTACAATACTGCTTGCTGAAGAGGACAAAGTTGAAGATGATGCTAACTTTTACTTGATATTTTCTGGTTCTACCCTCTATCACTGTACAAGTACCCGGAAGGTCAGTTCTGATACGTTGGAGACAATTGCTCCTGGTAAGTATCTGAATGGAATAATTTCTAGCCTTTATTAGTTACTTGTTAGGTTGCTTTTTATTTTGCGGCAAGGTTAGCTGTGAATTGCCAAGGCTGACTGAGAAACTCTGTCTTCTGCCTCAGTCTCCTGAGTGCTGGGATTGCAGGCCTATATCCTATTGCTGGGCTTTTTTACTAGTAGTGTAGTGATCTGAGCCCCACCTCTCCACCTACTCCTCCAGAGTAATAGAAGAAGTAAAACCAGGTACTAACAGCTGTTGTTAGATCTTTAAGAACATTGATAATGCTTTTGTTTGTCCTATATGTGTCTGAACCTAACTAGAAGTAAAGGAAATAAAGTGATGTTATAAATTGAGCAAAATCAGGATCAACAAAAACCAGTTTATTGGCTGTTGAGAGTTGGAAAAAATTGGGAGATACATGGAAGGTATGCATTCTCATAATGTTAGTTACTATTTCATTCTGAATATCATGACAACAAAACAAATAAGGTAAAACCTAATTAGTAATAAATACATCCCTTATGTTTGGGATATAGAAACTTACAGTGTCTTTCTCACAAGATGAATTCCTCAGATTTACAAACCATAGGTCACCATGGGATACAGGGTTACTTACCACTGCATTTGTAAATTTAAACAAAAATTTAAAAATCAACTAACAAGACATCAGGGCAGTGCTGTCGTATAATAACGTAGCAGTTATCTCTTTGACTATCCAACATCTGAAGATGCATTGATTTGCGTTTGGGGCTGAGTTTTTTCCTTGGCCTTCCTTTACAGTTAGCAGTTGGGCCAGTTTTCACCAGAGTTTAGGAGAGCGCACTTGGAAGAATACTCCAAATAATGTCGATAGCTCCATTATTTCTCATTAGAGAGTACAGTGAATGTGGCTCAAGTGCCAGCATGCTCTCGCGATTCCCCTTTGCTGGTAGAAGTAGTGTTACAATTACTACCTTAAGGAGCCCTTGGATCTTACTGTGCCAGATAAGCCTGCCTGTTTCTTATTCTTGTGCCATTTCCTGTAAAGTGACTTGATGTCCAGTACATATCAAATTGTGGAAATTATGCCTCAGAGAACTGCTATTGTAGAAGTTGCAAGTTTTACTTTTATCTGCTTTTGGGATTTATAGATTCCAGACACTTTTTAGGTCTGTATTTCCCAAATGTAAAGAGGTGGCTAGGAGAGATAGTGAGCTTTTTTTCTAAAGAACATTAGGCATCCTCATTTGTAACTCGAACCTCCGGCTGTCTTGATTTCTATGATACGTATCTCAAGTCAGAAAAGCTGATCTGAAACTTTGGTCTTTTCTTCAGCAGGTGCCACTCAGTGTGGCCATTGCTTACTTGGCTCATTGTATGTTGGTGAAGAGAAGGAGTTCTATGACTAGGAGTCAGTCTCTAGGCAGACTATCTAAGAAGTAACATGAGTTTTATAGATTGATTTCTTCTAAATTAGAAAGAATTTGTAATTACAATTCTCTCTCTCTGTGTGTGTGTGTGTGTGTGTGTGTGTGTGTGTGTTTTCAGGAACACCCCAACCACACCCTGTGTGGGTGTCCACTTGTATTTATTGATTCTGAATACTGTTGCCCTAGTGATCTAATCTAACTAAAATCAGCATTGTGTTCTGCTACTAGTTTTGTCACTCCTGACCCATTCTTTCTTTCAATTGTTACCCAGAACACTTGATCTCCCTTTCCTGTTTATCAGCCTTTCCCTTACCTAAATCTTTTCATATCTATCACGCTTACGGATTCACGCCACTTGTCCTCAATAGCCCCATTATTCCTCCACCCACCCAAATTCATTAAGATTTCTGATAGGAAGTGCCTAATTACAGCAGAGTTCTGAAAGCCCCTGGTGTACCCGTGGGAGGCTAGTGAAGATTTTGGCATCACTTTAGCATGTGAGGCTTTACTATATACTAGAGAGAATACTCCAGATGGTGTATGAGAAACTGGTGGAGACTCCCAACTGGATCCTTCTGTTTTGGTCGTCATGTCTGAGACTTTTTATTTACTTGTCTCTTTCAGCTATTGTCATTTAAATTAGTCAGCATTATTCTAGTGGTGGGGTAGATGTATATATTCAGGGTCACGGGGTGGATGCAGTGGACGCAGGACCCAAACAACTTTAAATATCTTTCATGTCATGGGATTAACCTAGGATCAGACTGGCTTCAGTCTGCTCTTGTGGTCATCTTAGACTTGTGCTTTCCCTTCCCTTAGGTTCTTCAGTATGTTTTTTATAAAAACAAAACGAAAGAAAGAAAGAAGGAAGGAAGGAAGGAAGGAAGGAAGGAAGGAAAGAAGGATGGATGGATAGATAGATAGATAGATAGATAGATAGATAGAGTGCCCTTTCCTGTGCCCTCCCTTACTGTATGTTCATCTATTCATTCACTCAGCTTCTCGTGCACTCAGACACTCTGTTTTACCCATTTGCATTTTATTTCAGCTTTAGCTTCATGAGGCAAGGATTTTGTTTTTACTGGCATATTCTGGGTCAGCTTTTCTAGCAATCCCTGCTGCCTCATAGGCATTGTTGCATCTGGTTCTCAGAAGCAGGCATTCTAGAAAGACACACATGTTATCCTCCCTTCCCCTTTCCCTCTTACTTTGGAGAAATGCAAAAGGAGTTTCTGGCTTCTTGAGTTGAATTCTTCATCTCTCCCTGTAGTCTCTAGTCTCTGTTCTCTTTCCAGAGGTGGCTTTGATGGTTTCATTGCGTCAGTCAGTGGTAACGATAGCCTCCAATTTCCTGTCTGCTGAGGGCCAGTGTCAGGTTAATCAAGATTCTTGATGGAAACTGTACAGTGCTTTTCGAGTTGCTGTTACTGGATAAATACTCTGAGTTTTTTTGGCAGCAGGTGTTCCTGATAGGAATTTCTCCGTGCCCTTTCTGTTTATTCGAAGACTAGCCCTGCCATTTCCAGTCATCTGAGCTCTAAGAAGAAAAAGCTTTGTGCCTTGTTCTTTCTCTTAATGTCATGATTTATTCAGATAGCTGGCTTTGGGTTTTCTCTGTATGATTCATTGTCTGTGTTTTGTTATATATTAGTTCTTACTAAAACCAGATGATTGACTGACCTTCAGAAAGCAGCTACATTTTGATGTTAGTCTGTAACCTTTTTAATCAAATATTTTCTGCAACTAGGTTGGGAAAATGAGACATTTCTAAATCATAGAAATTTTTTCATATCTTATAATACAGTTATAGCTATCCTAGGTTTCTAATGTCTGTCTTGCTATGAAAGTCTGAAAATCAGAGTTTGAGCTCTGGAATCTAAGTCTGGAATCTGAGTCCCAAACGTTGTCCTCTGACCTCCATGTGCATCCTGTCATGCTTGCCCCCCTCTCCTCCAACAATAATCAACACAACAGAAATTTAACGCAACCTTTAAGATGGATGGTTGAAGAATGTAATTTCAATTTTACTGAACCATATATCTCAAAGGTATTCTTAGAATATACAATACTATTTGTGGGGTTCGCTTTTAGTAGTTAGTTTAGACAAAACAAATATGAGTTTATCATTTAAAAATGGAATGGAGATTTTAGTGTTCTGAACACTGTTGTGAAAGGCTTTGGTGTATGCTATTAATTTACTTTTAGAATTCATGACAAGGCTTTTGTTTGACAGAATTATAAACCTTCGTTGATGTCAAATTAGATTCAACACTTAAGTATTTCTCTTTTGTTTCATACTTTTCAAGGATAGTTGACCATGTAAGGTAGTTTCCTTGTGGAAAGGAAAACAAACAAACACATACAAAAAGACCTATTGTGTTTACAAGTCCCTTTTGGCTAATGAAAAAATTGGAACTTAGATTTTACACATTATTCCTGTGTGTATAGCATGGTGTATTTTTTTTATTCCCTGTGAACCAAGATACTCTTTAACAGCAAGGTTGATTATCAAATCAAGAAGTATTTTGAAAAAGAAAAAAAAAAGATTAAGTGTTTAATTTGCTTAGTCAAAAGAATTCTTATAACCACCCTACTAACAATTATGTTATTATTTTTAACTGAATACTTTATGATAGTCTGTGTAAACTCAACTGTAAGTTTATTTCTTGACAGCTTTGAGTTCACTGTTTTTAAAAAATTAGTTAATGCAGTACATATAATTGTCATACTGGAAAAACAAAGCAAGAGGTAGTTGAAAAAGTAACCACATCTGTTATTCACTGTCATAGTGATAATGTTATTAAAATTATATGTAGTTATCACCTTGGACCTGTGAACACAGCACTCGAATCCTAGGGTATGTTTACAACAGGAATGGTATAATTTGGGAGTATAAATTAGATTTTGGGGTATGTCTAAGTGTCACAAATTCTTATTCTTTATATACACAGTACATATACACATAGCAATGAAATTCAGAGTTTATGAGAGAGGTTAAATAGGAAAAGCTGAAAAGGCTTCTTTCTGTGAGCAATGACATAGGAAGAAGGATTGAGAAACACTACCTTAAAGGTTTTGGCTGGAATGCAGAAAGTCACAGTTTTAGAATTCAATAACCTGCCTTTTTTCCCTCCCACAATATACATGATGGGGTTCTGGATTTGCTGTTGTGCTTTTTGTTTGTTTGTTTGCCCCTCCCATCCTGCTTAATTAGCCTTGTACATATAGAGACATTAAATGTGTGCATCTGCCATTAGTTGGCCAAGACCTAGTAGTGTGAGAGCACATGTTTCTCCATGTGATTATCTCTTCAAAGGGAGGGCCAGTGTGCAGACTGAGCATTTCACTCTGCTGTTCACAACTACTTTATGAGGAAAAAAAATCACACTGGGTTATTAAACTGAGTAGTTTATCTCCCACTGCTGACTAGTCTACCCTTTCTGTGTGGGATTGGCCTGGGCTAGTCCAGCAAGTGCTTTTGGGGTTCCTTTTTAGATCACTGATAAAACAAAGGCCCGATTGTTTTAGTCTGAGAAAAGATGGCCCGGATGGGATGTGTTCCATTTTTAGTTTAGCAGGAAATGAAGTA